AGGTGACGAATATACGGATAAACTAAGCGTTTAACGATGCAAGTTATATACTTAAAAGTGTGAAACTCCGTAGTTGTACACTTGCAAGTGTTCAATTCGCACGGCAAAAAAGTTTCGTGTGTATTTTAAGACCCAGTCTTGGATCTTATGGAGAAGACCAATGGAATCCAAGATCAGTTCTTGAAATACGAAAAAAAAAAAAAAAAAAAAAAAAATGTTTCGTACGGTAAGGAGTGCACATGCAATTGTGCAACTCCTTATTTGAGCTGAGCATATGCGCTCAATCTAAGGAAGTACCCAACTATGAGGAGTTGCACCTTTGTTAGTATTCAACTTGAAATTGCACACTTACGAGGTTCAATAACACTTCGTGTGCGGAGTCCCCATGTTTGCCCCAAACCTCGAAAATTGCCAGGAATTCCGCCACCCAGTTCCACCGCTCCTTTTTCACGAGTTGTTTAGAAACGGTGAGACCCGCGATAAAAATCTTTTGCGAGGGTGCCCACCGTGCCCGCCCACCTGCGAGCCTACCGGCCGTTACCCGACCCGGGCGGGAGCGGCGGAGCTGGCACTCGGCTACCACTAACATTTATTACCGTATACGTGACTCTGGCCACTTCGACGCTAATTTGCATGAGATCCTCTCCAGCAAACGGCCTCAAAGACGAACGGGTTTATGGCCACCAACGCGGTATATATGGACCCGCCTGCCTACCTACCTATAGCGGCCCTCTCCGGAGCGCCGGCCTCGTAAGCCGTAGTACCCACACATCAACCGCCCGACGAAAAATAAGCATCAAAACGAAGAAATGTGTTGGCCCTGTGCCAAAAATGTAACAAAATGATGCTTTGGGCTCATCAGGGGGTGACTCACGCAAGCATGGACGCTGGGCTAGCAGATAGCTAGGATGCAGGGGGATAATAGAAGCACACAACCGGAGTGCGATGCGGCGAAGGGCGAACCAGGTGAACGAGCGAGCGAACGGCGCGAGGAGAACGGCAGGATAAAGAGAGGGAGGAACGGGAAGGAAAAACTGTGATCGCGTTAAGGCACATCACGTGGCCGTAAGCAACCTCCCACACATACGTATGAGCCATTTCAATAACCGAAATGCGCCCACGCCCCCTCCTCTCGCTCTCCCCGGTAATCTCAAAGGCAAGGAGGCAGAGAGCCAGGCGCGCCAACGCCGCCGCCGCCACCCCGCTTCCTGCGAGCTTTAGTCGCGACTTTGGAGGGCCCCTTCCCCACTCCCACACACTCTCACACCCCACCCCCGGCGTCACCCACACACGCACGGGTTTTAAGGCTTTTTAACCGAGAGAGGCGCGGCGCGGCGGAGCGTGGCACGGGCGGCAAGTCATCTGACGAGTTCCGCATGCATGAGTGCCGGGCGGGGCCAAAGGTCACGTCGTTGGGAGCCACGCCACGGCCCGCCCCTCCACGGCGTGGGGACGCCCAGAGGCACCGTTGTAACACCTTTGCGCGCAGAGCGGGCGTCGTGGCGTGCTCGCGGCCCCCACTCAGCGACACGCGCCCAAAACGTCTAACACATCTCGCTTTTTTCTTTTTTTGTTTCTTGGCAACGGGGACGAGGGAGGATGCCCTCTGGATGTGTGGCCGTTGCCGAAAAACATAGAGACTGTGGGGATCGAGAGGGGGGGGGGTAGTAGTGTAGAGAGGCGTATTAACAGTGAAAAGCTCTTATCGACCACAGGACGTGCTGGGCGGACACTGACCAGCACTCACTCACACACAGCCTCACAAGGCACAGCAAGAGAGTATCTTCTCTCTGCCCCCGGCCACCCCTATCCCTATTATAAGCCCCCCCCCCCTCCGGGCAGGGAAAGATATAGAGAGGGAGTAAGCGAAAGGAAACGGGTGGGGAGAGAAGAGAGAGAGAGACAGACAGACAAAATGGGAGAGAGAGAGAGAGTGGCAGAAAGCGGGAGAGGAAGCTCTCATGGATCATAAACCGCTTTCAAACTTTCCGCGCCACCGAAATTATTTGAAATTCCCCTTCGCTAACCAGCCCCCCCCCCTCCCCCCTCCATCTCTCTCTCTCCACGGTCCCCTCTCGCCGTCTCTCCGGATTCCGACAGCGAACAGCACTGCTATGCCTGCCCTTTCAGAGATAGTAGTAGCAGCAGTACACTTGCAGGGCGTCGCCCCATCCCCCGACTCCCTGCTCCCGCTGAGTTGTAGAGCCGCCCGTACTTTCCGAAGTGGGTGTCTCTCTTTTCTCTCTAATTGGCGCCGCTGTCTCCGCCCCATGTGACGTGGAGGGTCACTAACGAGCTCTCGAACTCCCTACCCTACTCTACCCCCTCCGGCCTCTCCGAGACATGGGTCTCTTTCATAACACAGCGAGAAGTGATTGCCCGGCTGTTGAACGATATGATTTTTACATTTTCACTAACCTTCACCTCTGCCCCTTCTTTTTCCTTCAGTCTTTCCTTTCTATGTACATATCCGTCTCTCTGTCTCTAAATCCCCCCTCCCCTTACCTCCCTCCTTTTCTCTCTCTCTCCCTCTCCCCCCCCCCCCCCCCCCCCCCTCTCTCTCTCTCTCTACCCGAGCTCGCAGCACCAGCGCACTCCGTCAGAACAGCAGCGGCAGTGCTCCGTGGTCACCGGGTCGAAAATTGGGAGGCGTGAGGAGCAAAGGGCCGTCGTGAGAAGAAGGGGAGAGTGAGCGAGAAAGGGGAGCCAGAACGGAGGCCGAGAGAGCGAGGGAGCGAGCAAGAGCAGAGGAGGGGGAAGCACCAGCAGCAGAGCGAGAAAAAGGGGGCGGAAGGCGACCTCCTCGACCGGAATGCGTTCATCACTGGCGGATTGGCTCAAGGTATTATGGGGGTGCGCGCGCCGAGGATGAGGAGAGAGAGAGAAAGAGAGATAGCTAGAGAGAAAAGTTTCACGCCACAAAGCTAACGAACCACTACCGCCGCGACGCTGGCCCGCGCCCATCAGCTGCAAGTCACATTTACACTGGGCAATCTGAAAGAGACGGCACGTCACGAGCTTGAAAATAATATAAAGGATGAAACGAGGGAAAAGGGAGGAGAAGGGGGGAGGGGGAGAAGAGGTAGCTATCTGCCTACTACCACCAACGAAGGAGCGGGGGTGCTCTTTGTCACACTGGCTCAGAGACTCCCCGGTTAATTACCTGGTGCCCCCCCCTTCCCTTCCCCGGAGTAGTGGAGTTACGCACCGTAAAATTATTTTTGCCCGGCCACTGCAATGCGATGGCCCTCGGAGACGATCTGGAGCAGCCGTCCGCCGAGCACAGAGCTCCGCCGCGGCCAACACGAGAAAAGCCATCCTCTTGATTTTGTCATCATGATTTTTGTACTTTTTTTACAATCAGCGTATTTGAAAACATACTTCGCCCGTTCTATTAAGAAGAGGTCCCAAAATTAACTTGGATTTAGATTAACTACCCTAAGTCTAGTATAGCTGTCAAAGTGGACATTCAGTTTGAGCTTATCTGCGCAGTTTATGGTAGCGAGAAAAAATTCTCATGAAAAGCAGTTCAAAAATAGGTTTTTGGGGCTATGACATCACGCGACATGGTGTCAAGCTTATATGCCCATCAATTACGGCGTCTTGCCAATAAGGAGAACCATAAGCAACAGGCTGTTTGACCTGGGCGAATCACGGCTGCTTACGGCTTCTCTCTCTCTCTCTCTCTCGTGTACATTCTCTCGCAGCTGAGGAGCTAACAGAGGAGCAAGGCCCCCTCGGCAGCACTCCCGGTCCCCCGGCCCTTCCCTCTCCCACTTACCCCCTCCCCCAGGCAGACCGCCTCTGTTTCAACAAAAGGAGAGAGGTCGTCTTGATTTTATCGCACTTCTGGCGCAAATTCAGCTAAAGAACCTTCCCTTCTTCCTCTCCTCTTTGCTCTTATAAGCAGCACGAGCCCCCCCGCTGCGGACCAATTGCGCGCGCGCCCGGGCAGCAAGTGCCTCCGGGAACAGAGAAGAGGGGGGAAGGGGCTGGGATTGTCGTATTAATTTAATAAATGCTGCCTGCGCGCAGAGAGAAAGAGAGAGAGACCTGGGCGCGACCACTGCACCGACCGGGCGGCGCTGCAGTTGTGCAGACACCTCACTGCAAGCCGTGTTTTTGTCGGTGTTTCTTTAATCCTTTTTGCATAGCGGCGAGCAAGCCCCTGGCGCAGCTCTCCGATGACAGAATGATGATGCCCTTGAGCAGCAGCAGCAGCAGCAGCGCCCCGGGGGCTCCCGTGCGGGATAAACAAATAAGGCCCGCAGCACACGCCCCAATCAGCGGGAGTGCGTGTGCCGTCCGTACGCTGGCGCTGCCGATCGCAGCGGGCGTGAGTGCAGCATTTACATGGAAAACAGCGGCCTGGAGAGAGAGAGAGACAGAGAGAGAGAGAGAGAGAGAGAGAGAGAGAGAGAGATGGTGAGAGGGATATGAGCAAGAGAGGGACGTGAAAGAGAGAGAGAGATAGAGATATGTGGGGGGGGCATAATCTGCACGCTCTGCCACGACCCGTGCCAACATAACATCACGCCACACGGATCCGTCGAGGAATAATAATCAAAGCAACACACACTGAGCACCAAACTGATATTAGCACTGAGCGGGCGGGCGGGGG